GAAAACAAATGACAAATTCTACACAACATTTGCCTTTTGCCCAGGGGGCTGAGCAGTGCTGTGGTAAGTAAAGTCATTTAACAAATGCCCCATTGGACATTTTGTGACTTTTCACATTTCAATCTGTCTAAATTAAATTAATGAGCGCGGGCTGTGAAACTGAAACGAATAAATACGGCTCTGCAAAGTTTGCTGGCCAATTCCACTTTTCAGATAAGTGTAGACACCCCAGAATGAAGAGGCTTTCAGTCGGGATGTGCTCCATACAGAACCTCACTGCTCACGTTGTGCTCATCAGGCAACGATTTACATAACAATGTAGACACAATGGAAGCTGCAGAAGATCCATCTAACACAGCCTGGGTTACTATTTTTACATAAGTATTGCTTCTAGTTTATTCTGAAATTTACAAAAGTGCAGGCTATTTTCCAAAACTGCTTTGTTCTGCTTCTGTTCAGTCAGGATCATCACACACATAGTGAGAGGCAGTTTTCACAAACACACACATTCAGGCTCCATTAGCACATCGGTAGGAGACGCAGCAAAAATATTAACAATCTTCCCTTGTGAGAGAGAGAGAGATGGCGAGAGGAGGAGGATGTGGGCGATAAAACTGAAACAAAAGAAATGTGGTGAAAGTGGAAATGGAAAGATAAGAAGTGAAGCTTTAGAGAAACCAGCAAGAGTATGGAGATTAGAGCGGGGAGGGGGAAGTGAACTGGAAAGGGTAAAAAGATCATTTCAATCAGGATGATAAGAGGGGAGTGCGAGGTAGGGATGGCCAGGAGGAGAGAGGCTGACAGGAGTTTAAATGAAGAAGAAAAACGCACAGAGAAGTGATTACCATGTGGGGTAGCTGAGGAACGGAGGGCACAAGCAGAAAGAAATTTAAACCGAGTAGATTTCAGCTATAGAGAGAAAATTGGTTTATTCTGTTCAAAAAGGCCACGAGGGCAGAGAGAGAGAGAACGCTGTGTGGGCACAGATGGATGGATGGATGGATGGATGGATGGATGGATGCATACGTTAATTACTGGGTCTCTATAGACGAGTTACATATAGTCAATGGCCAGAAAAACATAAACACTGCTTTCACAAACACATGTGCTGATCCATTACACCGTGCAACAGCAAATCCACTTCCACACCCTGGATGTGAACAAATTACTGAAAATGCACTCTCTAAGTGACCTTGTTTTCCGGAGCAGCAACAGCATCGTTGACCGCAGAGCCACTGGGAGCACGGTACCAAAAGTGAGCAATTAACTGGTCGCAAAAGAAAACTACTCACTCATTATGTTTAGCTTTGGGGAAGGAGACTCAGGTGTTGGTCACCGAACATCAAGGGGCTTAGACTACGCATGGCAGCTTCTGGCCAGGCCACAGAGGTGACTCAGTGTTCGGCAGCACGCTAGGCCGTTGATGAACAGTGGTTCAAGATCACACTGGTAGAAGTCTCCAACAGGGGCTGATCTGAATTCAGGACCAAATTCTCACAGTGCACGTGTAGTAAGAACCTGTGTCTACAGACCAACTCCAGTATGCTTCTCAGAAACCGAGTCATGGTTCTGGGAATCCTTAGCCTCCATTACACACACGCTAAGCAAGAAACAAACTGGGGTGAAGTGGTGAGGTCAGGGCTGAGCTCCTGTACAGAATACTGCAGTATTAGAACATGAACCGTGAGCCGTCAACAACACTGTTGGTACTACTACAGGTTGGTGGGGAG